CAGACAGTATATTTCCAACTTTCATCTTCTTTCATCTGTCTATATCCTAGTCCTACTACTCCTTTTCCGACAATTTAACACATCTCATCTAAGTTTTCAAGAAAACCGGCAATGATCATGCCGTCCTCCTATTCTCAATCGACTGATGGCGAACAAGCTAACCACCACCACTAATTTCATTCTGCTATTCTGCTGGTAATACTGTACTCACAACATTCTTGTCATGACAAGCCATGCTCTCTGGACGATTATCTTTTCTGTCGCAGCACCATTCGTAATTTGCGGTTTCCTGATGTCCTTATTTAATCGTTTTTCATTCAAAATGTGCCTCTTGGATTTAATAAGTTCTCATAAGAACCCCTCGATTTTCATCTATTTTCATAAGCGCCCCCTCAATTTTCACTCTGTTTTTATAAGCGCCCCGTTTGAATAAGCGCCCCTCAAAAAGTGCAAAACAAATTTTAAGCGCCCGGGTTCTTATTCGCGCGAGTACGGTATTTTATGTTAATATTTCTTGCTGTTATGTCTTTTAATACTATTATTGCTTTATTATTGTTGCTGTTGCTAGTACTATATGCTACTATGTGATTAGTGCTGCTGCTGCTGTACTACTATATTTATAGTTAATTATCATTATCATCATCATGCCCAGGGGCGTTTATTGTTGTGAAGGGTTTTTGAGGGGCGTTTATTCGGAGGAGGCATTTATTTGAGGGAGGCGTTTATATGGTTGGTGTAAAGTGGATACGTACATACTCTAATAAACGCCCCTTAATTTCACTGTAAACGTATAACTAAAACATTACCGTCAAAATGTGTTATTGCGTGATCACAAAGACTTAATGATACCAACCAGGTTAGAAAAAAATGTGATTGTACTGGAGTAGAACCTTAATAGAATGTTTTAAGAATGATGCTACATCTACTAGATTTGTTTACAATTATTTAGGCGGTGGGGGAGTTTATTTAACTCGGGGCGTTTTTATTTGAAAGGGCCTTTTATTCAAAGCGGGGCGTTCATTCGAATAAATACGGCATTTACTTGTGAGAATTTCACAAAAACAACAATTGAAAAATTACAAAAGAACAACTTACCTTTTGGTCCAATAAGCAATAACAGATAAATATGAATACGCCTTGTAAAGAGTTTAGGATCGCGTAAAGATAGATTAGAAAAAGGCTGTTGGTTATAGCAGCAAATGGCCCAATAATCCAGGTGACACCAAGAATAGGGACCAACATCAAAACGCCCTTCACTGTAGATCTGAAATGCGATAGTTTTTACATGTTTATCTTGTGACACGTGTTTGTACGGCATATTACCTAAATTTATAGAATTTTGTATTTTTTTTTAAACATAGAGCACAGGTTTGTGTGCGACATTACTTTCCAGAACATAATATACTATAATATTAATTCGAACTTTTAACCTAGACCTATCTATGTCGTTACGACCTTCAAAAACACAAAAATGTCACGTAAACTTGAGTAGAAAGGTCAGACTAACCTGAGTTGTTTATACTCCGTTTGAAGTTTTTCAGACTTTTGCGTCATAGGTCCCGCTCGAGAGTATATTATAATTAACATCTTTAATAATATAATCATATTAATCTATCGAAGAAAAAAAATACAGCAGATTGACTGAAGCTATAGTGAGGTTTTAAAATTGTTTCTGTTCTTAAAATTATTATAATGATAGCCCCAATGGAACATTAATAAATACCATAAATTTAGCGTTGTGTCGGCAGTTTTGGTAGGACAAATACATTTGAATCTGAATACTTTTCTGTAATAACCATAGGATACTGTAGTAGAAGCTGGTGATACCTACTTTATATATTGAGATATATTGAGAACTAATGCACATTTTTATGGAGCGATTGGACTTGACTTTATTTGGCATAAAAAAAAAACAATTCAGACTGAAACAAGTTACAAAGATAGCACGCGACCTTTTTAGAACAACATTCCTTAAATAAGCAATAAACTAAATAACTAGATTGGTAAAAAAGATATAGTTGGCAATTGTTGGTATGAATTTATTGTTATTATTCAAAATTATATAAGAAAGCATGGATGGAAGAAAGAATATTAGGATTAAGTTGATTTAGTAATTTGGTAGCTAATCGCTTCTAATGGCTACAACGGTTGCTTCGAGTCTGCTCATGTATAACTTACCAGCACACTGCCAAGCATTGGAATTACTACAGCCCACTTTCCGCTACCATCCAGCAAGCACCTAAAGGCAGAATGGAAAAGTAAAGTGGATGAATATTTTAATATTTTTGTATTTAACTGATTTTTAGGCATATCTTAAACTTTCCAATACGTCGTGAAAGGCATGCATGTTAGTGTAATGTAATGCGTGTTGCTGGTAGTGGTTAGATATTTTGAATACGATATCTTTCTCTATGTTTTAATAACTTGTTTATCGAAATACCCTAAATTACGATGGATTTAACCTCCAAAAAAATTACCTCTATACTGCCTTTTATAAGTTTGGGAATGTTTATGTGGAATTGTACCAGGAGGTAAATTGATGTCACTCAGTATAGAATGACCAACGGTATCATCGATCTTTATAACACGCTAATTGGACATTCAATTGTCGACCCATTTTTTATAAGACCCTATTTCGCTACAGACAAAGACAAGACAAATATCGAGGCTGAAATAAACAAATTAGTCAAACTAGGATTCCTAGCAATACAACACCAAGCAAACACATCGCCTGTTCTGCTCGTATCTAAAATAACATAAACGATAAAAAGATAATAAGAAAAAGAGTTGTTACGGACTTTCGATATTTGAATTCAGGAACTATAAATATTAACCATCCCTTCCCATTAAATTACATTAGTGCATAATTTGAAAACATATTGAAGATTAGTTTAATGTTTATGTGTTTGTTTCGTCGTACTGGTACTGACACTGTACATCTTGTTAAGAAGCAAAAGCCATGTGACAAGTTTCATGAATTCAAGTGAGCTTTGATGGACAAAACAGCAATACATTCAAGGAAAATTATAACAAAGACACAACTAATGGGTCTACAATAGACACATTAAGTATAATCCAAGTATTCGTGTAATTAAGTGAAAATAATTATCAAAGGTGATATTGAAGTTTTGCCGTACTCATTGCAGATATGATATGATATTAGATTGAAAATACTTATACTTTCTTGTAAGTGTGCAGTTTGTACAGATATATTTTTTTTAAATCAATGTCTAAATATCTTACAAATCTCCAGCTGTATAGTGGCTGCGGCCTAAAATCACTGCCGTTAGAACGATAAGAATCGGCACCGTATACGCTACCAAAAAGTGGAACTTAAACTTGTTGTATCGGCTTGGTGTTTTCTTGACAACTTTAAAAACGAGAAAAACAGCCTCGGACATCATCCACATAAAGATACATAAAAGCTCAAAATGCATCGCGACTGAAACAAATATACAGGCATTCTGAAAAAAAAAGTTAGAGTGCAGTCTAGTCCTACGTTCTCAGTTTTAGCAAATATCCTGTAGAAACACAAGATAGAACTCTTGCATAGCAAAAGTGAAGGGGATATACGCCATAGCTTTTACGCAAATCCAGACTTCTGTTTTTAATAAGGGCAATTTACGTAAGTTTATATCCCGACACCAGACCAAAATCCAGACGTACGAGGCGCCTCATTTAGTGGGGCGCCGCGTACGACTGGATATATACAAACATTAATACAGTTCACCAACAATGCAACTCTGTGATACAGTTTTTTCTGTGGAGAATTCTATCTTGTGTATCTATAGTACCTTTTGTTTTAGTGAACGGATTACAAGGTAAAAACCACTATTCTACCGTTCTGTGATTGGTTCGTGGAATAACCTCGTGGAAATGTTACATTAATTCCCCCATGAAAACATCTGCAAATGTAGTGATATGAAAACTAACATTTATGCTCCTTATATCAGCACCGTTAACACCAAGGCACTTAGATCTATATTTGCTAATGTACTAAATGATATTTTTTAATAAAGTACAGAATTTTGTAAATATATTGACGATAACATTGTTGTAAATAGAATAACAAGTTTGTATCATCATTTGATTATGTGCTGTCAATAGGCCTATACACAAAGTATAATGCACTGACGTAAATATTGCATTACGGTGACTAAATTTATATACCCACTGTAAGTTATGTAAACGTTTAATAGATATTATCGCATTAAAGTAATTATGGTACAGTTATATAAGCTATATAAACCTTTTTTTTAAATTTTTTTATTGATTAACGTTCTTGTCAATAGAACAACTGAACATAAAGTAATTGATGTTCCGTTAGGACACAATGGAAAATTATATAAACATCTTTTCATATAGCTTATTAATCATTTTGCCAATATAACAACGAAAACAAAGTAAATTTCTGATGCAGTGTTACGCATTAGGCTTACGGGGACAGTTATAAATTATGTACATCTCCTAAAAGAGTATTAACCATCTTGTCAAATAACAAGTTAATACAACCTATATTGATGCTACATTTATTACATTATGGTGACTAAGGTACAATTATAAAATAAAACGAGCATAAGGATTGTAAATACCTTGTTATCCGTCCGGTCAACAGCGCCAAGAAACAAGATGTCAAACACAATAATGTGACCCATCAATTGCATGTGAATCATATGACGTAATGACTTCCAAAGGTTGCTGCAAAACAAAGAAAACACGTTTTTTGGAGCCCCGTTGAAAATAAAGTTGTTATCAAAAAAGCATAATTAAAAAAAAATGTTCCGAAGTATAATTTGTAAGCTAAGGTGAACATGCAAGACAATATCACAAGGTCAACAAATTATATAATTATGTGACTACATAGAACCCAAAATCCATATAAAAGTGCCATAAGACGTCAACACAATTTATATCTGTCTCTTATACACATCTAATCAAATTATTTCATTATTCCATTCATATAAAAGTCATATAGCATTGAGTGCAAATAATCAATAGCCCTGATTTTCGTATGGTTAAAAAATGGTGTGGCCTTACAGGCCCGGTCTAATGCTTTTTAACTTTTAGCACTATGTGACGTACTGATCAAGCATTCAATTCCGGTATGTAGAAAATCTAGATCCACAAAGCTGAGAGAAGGCGTAGCGGAAATGCCAGACCTATAATGCGTAGTTGGAAGTGAGTGTACGATGATTGCTACAATATAGTTTATTGTTATATATAATTAATATCACTATGTGCTATTAAAATTGTAAACTATATCAAAATTAAATTCAATAATTCTCCAGATGACACATCTTGGCCCATTTTGAGGATTGTTAAAGGAATGGCGAAACGTTATCATTAACATATAGGTTACTTGGTCGTAATTGTTGGGAATTTATACTCAGGAGGCGACATTCTTTTCCTTTTACTTGTTGCCTAGCTACGAGTGCTCAGACACTTACGGGTAAAGTAGAGACCTCAAATATCACCATGAAACTTGTCAAATGAGTGCATACACAAGTCACATTCCTGTCAGTAACCTTCTGTACATTGCATCCCTTTGACGACCAACTCCTAGTAAATCGGATTAATTAAGAATGGGGTCGGTTACTGGTTAAATATTGTGTAAAATGAAAATTTTAACAATGAAGAATAAAGAAGATGTTGGATACTTAGGCTTGTATTGGACATAGATTACCACGAAATGTATGCAAAAGAAATTATCATCTAATCACATTACATATAAGAGTGCGACAAAATTTTAGTTTTATTACCAAGAGCGTATACATGTAATGTTTGGAAAGCTTTTCCATCTTCACTTATCGAAACAAAAACCGTAAACCAGGAAGTCAAATTTTTGTTTTGAAGTTTGCCCCATATAGTACAGACAATCTTTTGAAAGCATCTATTAAATGTGGACACACAAGCTTAAACTTTATAGAGTAAGGCTCATTACCAAGGTACATCAATGTATAATCACCTTATGTCGGCTGTCAGGAACGCACACATGGATTTGGTTATGTTATGATCATTCAATGCATCTTCGGGAATCTAGAAAATATTGTTTAAATATATTACAGATAAATATAATATTACATATAAATATAATATTATAGTCGCTTATTAGTTATTTAGACACATGTATAATTAAATTCATTTTTTAACATATAGGCCTATCGTAATAACCATTATAGACACCATGTACTGTATAAAGGTTTCATTATGGTATGTTGAGTGGGGTGCGTGTTAAAACTGTTCAATTAATGTTGATGAGATAAATTTAGGCCAAATCATCGTTAAATGACTCACATAGGAATAAGCAAGTAAAACAATTTTAGCTTACTTATCAATAATTACGTTATGTTTATTTTTTTAAGATAGAAGCACGAATTAAAAGATAAACAAACTTTTTCAGGGTAGGTTGGCAGAGAGAATTCCACCGATGCTCCAACTTTCATGCCCTCGTCTGAATAGGCCGTTATTGATAGAATACCACTACCTTTGTAGTACACACCAGATTGTGTCTCACCATTGCTACTACAAAGCAATGTTAAAAAGAATTATACTAAAATTAGGCCTATTAGTGCTGACAGTGTTTTTACGGTATACCTTTATTATCTACTTTTATGACGCAATGTGAAATTGTTCTAAGCAACCAGAATGTTTTGGTTGCAAAAAGAAAAAATACAATAATTTTGTTGTCGAAAAGAGAATCGACATAAAACTGAGCCTGTGCCCATTCCAAGAGATGTTTAATTTTAACAAGCCTCACTCGACGACATCTGTATAGGCATAAGGCTCATACGCAAAAGTAACTTCGGCCTATACTATATTGGTCCAACTTAAAAAACTAGAAAATACGGACCGATTGGGCTCTGGTATCCGCTGCAACCGCAGTGCAGCTCCACAAGGCACTGCGTTCACCATGAAGTAATTCTTTATAACTTATAACGTACGCAAGAAACGCAAGTATTTTTAAAGATAGGGGGTGAACTATATAAAGTCTTTATCACATACAGAAAATAGAACCAAGAACTCATGGTTCAAGAAAAGTATTTGGTTTAACGTACACACGGTGGTTGACCCGACTTTGGTATGCTGCTCTTTGGATTAGTGAGTCAAATGTAATGTATACTTGGTATTGGAATAAGAGAATCGAACACAAAACGATATTACCCACCTATCTGGATTAAATGTAATACTACGTTGACTTATTGATTGCTCAGCCTCGTAACTAATGAAGATAGCGACAACTGACGTTGTATCTTGAACAAAACAAAAACAAAATTACATTGATAATCAAATGGTTATTGTTTGAACATGTAGGATTATATCGGCTGGCAAGAGGGAGTTAACCCTGTATTCTTTTTATTGTATTTTAGAAAATGATAAAGAATGAATAACTGATATATGAGATGGTGAAGATCGATTACAATCTGAATTTGAATGTAATAGGCCCATTTGATATGAGACAATGGAGAGCGAGATCTTCCAAGGAATAGGCTACATAATGACCAAGCTAGATTATCGCTAGTCGAGTATTTTCAACGATCAAGTACAGTACGTAGGCCAAATCTTGGTTCAGCAACAAAAAATTCTTTCTCTTAATCATTTTTGTTTTTGTTTTCGTTTTTTTTTTTTTTTTTTTTTTTTTTTTTT